GCTCTGGCTGCCTGTTGGGATCATTTGCCAATTCCTCTGATGTCTAAGGGTCTGTCACTGCTTCTTGGGCCACTAAGGTCGAGCTGCTCCTGGAGATGTCTGAGCCTCAGGCTAGATGAGGACACTTTGTCTCACCTCTCTACAATGACTGCAGGTACCACTGTGTTCTGCATAGTCCCCACATGCAACTCAAAGGTGCTGCAACCAGAGAGAACCCACCTCTTGTTACAGGTATCCTAAGTTGGTTCCTTTTACTCCCCTCAAACATTATACACGTTCAAGTGCAGTGGGCTGAAAAGAATCTTCATCTTATATTCACAACCACTCTTTCTGTCTCCAGTTTTGGGCTTTGTCATTGGGCCAAGCATGGGTGCTGTTACTCTCACCTAAAGTGGCAAGTTCTTTCTTTCCCGGGAGGCATCTTGGTTCCTTCATATGGCCAGTCTCTTGATGTTGCCAGTCTGTCATCCTGCCCAGAAGTGCCTACTCCCTAGAGTGAATATAGACACCAGCTAACCTCATTTCTATTTGAGAGTTTTGTTTTCCAAATACCAGGAGTCACACGTTCAGAATTCAAGTTGGGCCGGGTGCGGTGGTGCACACTTATAATCCCAGCAGCTCAGGAGGCTGAGGCAGGAGGATCTAGAGTTCAAAGCCAGCTTCAGTAAAAGTGAGGTACTAAGCAACTCAGTGAGGCCCTGTTTCTAAATAAAATACAAAATAGGGATGGGGATGTGGCTTAGTGGTCAAGTACCCCTGGGTTCAATCCCCAGTACCAAAAAAAAAGAATTCAAGTTGGAATTGTGAGGATGATCATGGTGGTGATGGTGGTGAACCTCTCCCATGTATCAGACCCCATACTAAGCACTTCAGATATACTATCTTACTTAATTCTTTCAACAACTGTATGTGTTATGTACTATTACTATCCTCACTTTGCAGAGGAGAAAATTGTGGCTTAGGAAAATGGAATAGGTCCATGGTCACACGGCTGGCAAAGTGCAGAGCCAGTCCTGGAGCCTGCTCAGCTCCTCCTCTACGGCTTCAACTGGGCATTGAGCCAGTCTAGGCCAGGCCTCCCAACTTCCCTGGGCTTCTTCCAGCGCTGCTTTCATCCTGTCTCCACCCCTTTCCCCAGGGCAGCCTCTACAGGTAGGTTGCCAACCTTATCCGAAGGCCTCCAAGTTGACGGAAACCTCTAGGCTTGCACCCTCTGCGCTCTCCCCTGGGCTTCCCGAAGGGGCAGGATGGGAGGTGTTGTCAGCAGTAGATTCTCCTCCAGGAGCCAACCCCAGACCTCCCCAGCCTGTGGTGAAGCAATCGCCGTCCTCACTCTAACCCCTTCCTCACGTTCATTCTGGAGCCTGTTCCCAGGAAGGCCACCAGCATCCTGCCTTACATGGTTAAAATTTTGCCTCATCTTGGTGGGTGTTTTAACTGAATAAAGAATTCAATTCTGGGCTTTAAATGCCATAGAAAAAGAACAAGTTACTGTCTTTTCAGAATGCCCATTGTGATTTGTCCTTGGAGTCCCCCTCCTCCCCAATGATCCTTTTCCCACTTGAACTGACAGACTGAACTGCCAGATAAATACAGCTGCAAAGTGAGTAGTGTGGATATGATTTCTTTCCCTCATTCATTGCCCTTTCAGTCAAAAATGAAAACTGTTTTACTGTGTCTACATCAGCACAAGTCAAGGGCTTCAAAGGTATTTGAAAGTGAAACACAAAGAGTGAATGATCCCGTTTGACTCCACCATTTGTATTATTAACCAAGCATCTGCCATTGTTTCCTGCAGGGTGGTGGATCCGCCATTAAGTATTATGTGCCTAAGTTTCCCCATATGTAATATGCAGGGATTGAATCCAAGGTCTCAGAGGTCCCTGAAAGTTCTTGGGGTCTTTGTTGTATAGTCACAAAAACATCATTTTAAATCCAATAATTGAAGGGGTGACAATGTGACTAAAAACACCCCCCATAAAATATTCACCATGCAATTACTTTATGGAACAAGTTTCCACTGTGCACTTGCAGCAGGGTTCAATTTACCAAAAAGTCTGATTTGTGGCCAACTTTACACTTTTACTGTTTAAAGTGAGGTTTGCCCATAGGTAATGATGTCTAAAATCACTATCATATATTCTTTCCTCCACAGAAACTTTGACAATGGAAAAAGTAGTAGAACCCATTTTTAAATCATGACTTCTTTTGGGATGAGGATTTTCTTCTATTTCTCCATAAAAAAAAAAAAACAAAAACAAAAAAACATGTTTACAACCTCCCACGGAGGGGGGGGGAGGGGACTGGCTCAGTGATAAAAATCTACTTTTGAAACATATATCAGCTATCAATACTCTTCCTAGAACTCTGCAGAGGCTTCCCATTGCTTGAAGATCATGGGCGGCCTTTGCATGTGCCATGTCCACCACCTGAAGTGTTCTCATCACCCCCTTTCATTCCTCCTTAGCTGGGAACTTAGTTCAATCATTGCTTCTTTTTTTAAAATTAATTAATTTATTTATTCTAATTGGATCTATATGACAGCAGAATGCATTTTGAGTCATTGTATACAATTGCAGCACAACTTTTCCTTTCTCTAGTTGTATAATATGTAGCATCGCACCATGTGTGCAGTCTCACATGTTCTAGGGTAATGATGTCCATCTCATTCCACCATCTTTCCTGTCCTCATGTCTCCTCCTCTTGGCCCAATCACTGTTCCTCCATTTTCCCCATGCCCACCCCCCATTATCCCATTATGGATCAGCATCCACTTATCAGAGAGAACATTTGGGACTGGCTTACTTTGCTTAGCATGATATTCTCCAGCTCCTTCCATTTACCTGCAAATGCCATAATTTCATTCTCTTTTAATACTGAGTAATATTCCATTGTGTATATTTACCACAGTTTCTTTATCCATTCATCTCTTGAGTAAAAGAAACAATCAATGAGGTGAAGAGAGAGCCTACATTTTGGGAGCATATTTTTGCCACATACTCTTCAGATAGAGCATTAATCTCCAAATATATAAAAAACTTAGAAAGTTAACACCAAAAAAAAAAAAACCCAATTGATAAATGGGTTAAGAAGCTGAACAGACACTTCTCAGAAGAAGATATACAATCGATCAACAAATATATGAAAAAAATGTTCAACATCTCTAGTAATTATAGAAGTGCTAATCAAAACTACTCTAAGATTTCATCTCACTCCAGTCAGAATGGCAGTTATCAAGAACACAAACAATAACAAGTGTTGGTGAGGATGTGGGGAGAAGACACACCCATTGCTGGTGGGTCTGCAAATTGGTGCAACCACTCTGGAAAACAGTATGAAGATTCCTTAGAAAACTTGGAATGGAACCACCATTTGCCCGAGCTATCCCACTCCTCGGTCTATATCCGAAGGACTTAAAAAACAGCATATTATAGTAATGCAGCCACATCAATGTTTATAAGCAGCTCAATTTACAAGAACTAAAGTGTGGAACCAATCATTGCTTCTTTGGGGGATGATCCTCACTTCCTTAACTAGTCAAATCTCTTTATTATAACTCAGAGGTGCAGTTTCAATGGATTTGGAAGAGCAGGTGGTTACCAGGAATAGACTGAGGTGCTACTGTTGCATTCCCAGGCCTGCTGGTCGCCTACTGTCTGTGTGCACAGTTCTCTCCAGGCCCTGGGTTCCCAGCAATGTCTCTACCTTCATGGAGCTTTCAGACCTCTGGGGTAAAGGGACAGTGGTCAGATAGAGAATGAACAGGCCTGCCACTGCCCAGCCCTCAGAGCATATAGAGAGGAAAAGGAGGGATTGGAGGTGGAGGGGAAGGGTAGAATAGCAACACATCATGCTCTGATAAGGATGAGCTTATTCCATAATCACACATTTTCTAAAACAGTCCTTTTAATAAGTTCAGTCTAACAAGCAGGAGGAGAAAGGCAGTGACCTGATGTCTGCCTTCAGCAAGTAAGAGGACCAGGGACGGTTTTTCTTCTCTTTTAACACCTTAAGGGTCTTCCACCCTCTTAGACTAGACTATCCCACCCTTGGCCAGAGCTTTTTAATTTTTCCTCCTTTAAATGGATTTCCATTTTCAAAGGTGCATCTTTCTTGCCATGATGTACACCAGTAACACAGCCCACCATTTTCATAATAATTATGGGGTGTCTGTCCTACCACCCACATTTGCAGACAGGGGAATAGATTCAACTGTTTCCTTATCTGTAGAATCAGCGAAATCCCAGCAGAACTGGCATCTCTGAGCCAGATCTCCCGGTTCTTAGTCCAGCGTTTCCCCCACGATATCACAGCCTCCTGGGCTGAGCCAGGCCTTTTTCAAGCCCCAGGAAGCCAAGGTTGGCTGCCTCCTGCTGGCAGGGAGTTCCTTCCAGGCCTCTGATGCTCCTGCCAAAGAAGGGAGGGTGCGAGAAGTGAGGAGGGTGGATTATACGCGGAGGCAGGCTATGCTTCTATTTCACTCCCTTATCGTGGAAAGAGGGAATGGATTACGCCTGGGGGGTAGGGAGGAATTATGAAAATCAATAATTCATGACAGTTGATCCGTGTCAGAAAAGTATTTACCCACCTTCATCCCCATGAAAGTCACATTCTCCATGTGTTCAAATTTGTCTTTCAACAGTGCCACCAACCAGGTGGACTCAGCAAGAAATATCAAGGTTTTAGCCGAATGCAGCGGAGAGTTTCATTTAACTTCATTTTTTTTTTCCAGCCAGGGCTTGGCTCTGAAGCTAGTTTTTCTTACTAGGTTGTTTGCTACATGAAAAGCCAATTCCCAGAGGTTCCCGAGATTGCCGACATCCTATGCAAGATGACTGCTCCCACCCACCCGCCCACCCACCCACTAATAAGACATAATGCCGTCCTATTTTTGGTAACAATTAAAGGGCCTCCCGGTGAAAGCAGAAAGCTGTTTATTTTCTGTTACATCACTTCGCTTTGCCTTCGAAGGCTGGTCTGTGCTCAGTGTTTGCTGGTGATGCAAGTCGGCTCTCTTCCTCCAGCAGTTGGATCGCTCCCATCTCACAGCACCTCTCAGGTCTCTTCCCCCGAGCAGTGCACTGCTCGAGCCAGGAGCAGCTCACGAATCAGCCGCAGGTCCCTGTTTTGAAAAGCAGAGATACAGAGGCAGAGGAAAAGGGTGGACTCCTATGTGACCTGTTCTTAGAGCAAGACAATCACCAGCTGAATTCCAGAAGCCCTGTTCATGTGTGGGGATATTTTTTCGACTGCATGGAATCAGAAAGAAGCAAAAGGATGGGAAATGCCTGCATCCCCCTGAAAAGAATTGCTTATTGCCTATGTCTCTTATCTGCGCTTTTGCTGACTGAGGGGAAGAAACCAGCGAAGCCAAAATGCCCTGCTGTGTGCACTTGTACCAAAGATAACGCTTTATGTGAGAATGCCAGATCCATTCCACGCACCGTTCCTCCTGATGTTATCTCATTGTAAGGCCCGTAAGCATTTTGATATCTAATTTACGATTTTAAAATTCCAGCCAGTATATTTGGGGTTTTGTCTGTATTGGTAGGAGGGCATGGAGAGAGAGGTTTCTCTTGCTTGCTTGGCCATTTGACAGTGCTAACATTTTGCTGCATTTCAAATTTTTGATTTTTATTAGCTGCTACTGGACATGCTTAGAGCTGTTCCCCCCACCTCCCAGCCCTGAATATTAATATGAGAAACCTGTAGCAGATTCATCTCTCTTACTTCAGCTGGGAAGGAACACAACCATACTTCATGAAATAGTGTTAAAATAGTGCCTGTTATGTTAAACTGGATTAACATAAGGTTTGTTCTGTGTGTGTATGTGTGTGTGTGTGTGTCTTTGTGTGTCTGTTTGTTTTTTGTGTTTTCTTTCAGATCCTTTGTGAGATCTGGTTTTACTGAAATCTCAGAAGGGAGTTTTTTATTCACACCATCGCTGCAGCTCTTGTGAGAAATATTTATATCATGACTATTTTTAATATGGCATATATTTGGATAAGCCTTCTAGTAAAATGAGTTCGATATTAATTTTGTTGCATGTGATGATATTTCTGAAAAGAAAGAGAATATCAGTAAAGTGAGGGGTAGATGGGTTTGTTTGCAACTTCACACCAATAGTGCAGGTTGATTCTTGCAATGGTAAATTTGCTAACCTGTAATACTGTGTGCTTTAATGTCTATTTATGAAGTTACTAGAATGTTGCAACAAGGATCCCAATTCCATTCCACTATTTTACTTTCATTTTTAACTTGGGAACTTTGGTTATTTTGCCCTAGAGTTCTTGCATTTGTCAATACAGAGCCCAGCATACCATATGCGCTCAAGATGTTGTCTCCTGGGGATCTGGGGCAGGCTGCTACTCTGTATGATTTACCATGTGGGGGAAAAAACTTGGTTCTTTCTAGGTAATTCCTTAAAACATCCATTCTTGAGGGACTGCTTTCTAATCTCATCTAATTTATAACTAGTGTCCCTAAAAGGAGGGAAAGAAAATATTAACATAGGATTGTGCAAAAGATTATTCTATGCTATATGTTTTGAGTTGGTCACAAGGGAGCCACATATTCAGCCTATGCCTGAAAATATCCCAAAAAATAATATTTGACTAAGAAATCAGATCTCTTCACAGGCATAACGTAACATGTATAATTTGTTCTGATGTGTAATATTTGGCAATTGGAGTTCTAGTTCTTAGAGCAGTATCACGAGGGGGTCAAGAGGTCTCCTAGTGCTCAGGTATCAGGCAACAGACTTGAGTTGGTAGCGAGGTGGTTACAAGGGAGAATTAGTCAATTGCCGATCCACTGAGTTTGTGGTCTATTAACTGCATGATTTGGGACCCAAGATTTTTGCTTTTGTATGTGGGGGCGTGCTATTTGTTTTCTTGCCTTACTTGGCTACTTTGGCTGTTTGAGATTAGGTACACACAGGAAAACAGCATGGAATTGAATTGGAAAGCCCTATATTTAAATCTCACCCCACTACTCACAAGAACCTAGACATGTAGTCTTTTGAAAATCACTGAATCTCACTGAGCCTTAGTCTCTCTACCTGTAAAATGGAGATAATAAAACATACTTTGAAGGAGTGTTAACAGAGATGAATAAGATTCAAGTAGACAGAACTCTTGGCATAGGGTATGGCAAATGTTTACAAGTTTTAAAAATGGTAGAGTTTCAAAATTTTACATAAAACTAAAGAGCTAAAAGTCACTCGACCTATTATTTTGTCTGAAATCCTCAAACTGGTTTGATCATTTCATCGAATTTATAAACTTGATCAGGTGTTCTTACATTATGTAACAAGGTTGGCTAATGTCCTTCCCCTGGCTAATGTCTTTGAGTGATTAACAGTTGAGTATTCCTTAAGGGTTTATCTGTTTGACTGATGGCCAACTGTGTGCTTAGGGGAAATGTTAACATATCAAACCAATCCAAAAAGATAAGACTCTTTTTAGTACAGAGAGGGACAAAATCTCTAATGCTGAGATCCTTTCCTAAGATAAGAATTCACTGTGCCTGAGAAAGTGATAAATTGTGCTTATGTTGCTCAGTGGTTGAGTAAATACCTGGCTCATTTAAAATGCTTCTTTTTGATGTACTAAGGCATCTCCCTCGCCTTATTGAGAAGTCTCAGTCACACAGTTTCTCGCACTCTGACATACAGGGGGGACATTAGTGGTGACACAGAAAGCCTGGGTTGATCAGCCTAATCAGCTACCACCTCTCCACTTTGTTTTTGTCGGGAGAGTCCAGTCAACACAAGCACAGATGCTGGACAGTGTTATAGAAATAGTTACCGGCTGCTGCAGGGTAATGTGCTTACACGCATTTAGAATCACAGAGGGAAGCCAAGTCACTGGTTTTAAATAGCCCACACCGAGTGTGTGCCATGCCCCTCTGTCCCATGCTCTGAGTTCCTATGGAACATTCCAGCCCTTATTTCTAAAAGCAGTTCAGGTTTCAGAAATAACAAAAGGGCGAGTAATCTTGCCCTGTACGTCCTCAGTTAACTCACATTGGCTAACGTCACCGCGGTAGGCTCGTGCCATGCTGATCTTGGGCAGAACTCTCAGGGGTCAAAGTTTGTTTCTGGTAGTGGCCAGTGAGATCTAAGGACTGTGTTCTCCATCCTTCCTGCCCAATGTTCTCTGCTTTGTCCTGCCCTTAAGAGAAGGTTGAAAAGCCCATTTTCACTGAGTAGGAAATAAACGTGAGCTGTACCATGCTCATAACAATTGTGGCGATACATAGATCACAGAAAGTGTCCTTCTGTGGGATAGCACTATCCAGTGCCCTGAAAATCCCACATGGGCTATCAACCTGATATTGGAACATGAAGACCAGGGGCCACCAGATCAGGCCTAATGAGTTCTAATGGTTCTTGTGACCATGGATCACCAAAGGGTCCCATCATATCCTGTAAAGAGATGAACTTCAGAATCAATTCTGCTTCATGAATGTTCAAAGGATGTTGATTTCTTACTCTTTTGGAAAGGAAAAAGATATGCCCCATTTCTATCACCCACCTTATTATGGCCCTAAAATGCTTTTTCAGACCTTCTGTAGAAGACATGATGAGAAGTACTTTTTTTTGAAATGTCAACCTTGGATATTAAGGAAAACAGACACGATACCTCAAGTTCCACTCAGTGTTTGGGAAAAAATCCTGGTAGGCCATGACTGGCAGTTTCTGTTGGAGAACAAGAAAAAAAAAAAAAAAAAAAAAAAAA